ACCCTTCAGACGAAGCTTGCAGCCTGTGAACAAAAAGTCAAAAACCTTGGAAAGGAAATCAACACCAATCAAAATGAAGCACTGCGGTCTATGAAGAGGAAGCCAACAGCCACGAAGACAACTTGTGGAGAGGGTCAGGTATATGTTTCACCAGGGACTAGACAGCGTGAACTGGAACACGACATTAATTTGACACTGGAAGAATTTTGTCCCATTTTCGCCTTTTATCTCAAAAACAGAGCTCAGCCGCACCAACTTTAAAATAACGTTTTTTGCTCCCCGAAAGTAGCGACCCCTCGAAAGCAACGACTTCGCGAAAGTAGCGACCCCCCCCCCCCTCCTTTCAAGTTAAAGAGTCCCAAAGGTTGCTAACTCGAAGGTAACGAGGGTCGTTACTTTCGAAATTTCACAGTTGTCTATTGCATGCATTATACTTTGATAAAGGAATACGCTCATTTTAGAGTATAATCCGCCTTAGCGTTTACTCATCAGAGTTTAGAAGTTGATTTAAGAAAATTAAGGTTCAACATCCCTGTGTAACATGTTGAACTATTATATTTCGATGTAGTCATGTGCTTCTTATCATGAACGGCTAAGCTCAAGTAAACATCTCTGTTAAATAGTTGCTATTTTTATTTTAACAGAAATAATTAAAATGAAAATCGTAGACGTATCAGGACTTTATTTCATTTGTAGTATTACGGTTTTACTCACTCTGAAAGTGCCTGACAGTCAGAACTTAGGAGAGAGTCAACATTGTCAGCAAACAGCTTTCGTGACGTCTCTCCTCCATCATTTTAGAAGTTTGCTATTTCCCTGATTGTTGAAATTTTCTTAGTTAGCCACATCCAGACCCGCGGGGGGTGGGAAAGGGGAACCCTTCTGCCAGGGACGTTTCGCCATACAAACAGCCGAATAAGGTTCGGGTAGTTGGAGGGGGTAACCCTTATGCCAGGGACAAAACATAAAATTACACAATGTAAAGAATAAATGAGGAATTAGCAAAAGTAAAGAGGACGGGCAAACATTGGCAGAATTAAATTCAGCTCATCGCAGTTCGAAAGCAAAATGTCAGTTAGAAAAAAACCGTTTACTTTAAACGAATTAAATTGTTCTTGTTTTCCATATAATAAAAATCTTATTAACCGAGCTTAGTCGGTCTGTATGGGAAAATCTTGACCTCGGTCGTGTGTACAAACCTTAATACGTTCGGTCTGTATTCACGACCTCGGTCAAGATTCTCCCATATAGACCTCCTGCTCGGTTAATAAGAGCTAAATACCATTGGCCTATTTCGACGCCTCCATCTCGTCTCAAGTTTCCTGAGAAGTACGCGAAGCAGTCTCTAATCGTAAATTAACCCAAGTGTAACACCTGGATGTGTTTAAGTATCTTTAATTCGTCGAAAAGGAGCTGGAGGGGCTGTCCAAGCATTATGTCAAACCAACGACTTATTTTAGTTGTAACAGGAGAGTTGTGCTCGAGCTAAAGATATATAGCTCTAGACAAGTCAAGATTATCACCAACTCGGTACTCATGTAGTCTAATTTGACGTTACTCTATCTATAAATTATAAAATTTTCGTCATTCTACTTTTCTGTTCCATAATTCTCAATCTTATCCTAAAGACTTATTTTAGGCTTTCAACTGTAGTGGTATGAGCTCTTAAATCCGCGCTGGTGTTGGAGTTGAAATCCAGGCCGTTAAACTCAGGGCCGAGTATTTAAACGAAGTTTCGGCGTCGTTTAAGAAGGTCTTGGTGTAAACCGGGTCTCAACCGGGAAACCGTGTTATTTAAACGTCACTTGTCTTAAACCTCGCCTAAACGAGTCTAAACACAGACTTCCAAACAATGGCAACTTAGACCTGGTCATGAGTAGGTTTAGACGTTGTCTAACGTTTTATTAGTGAAGGTTTTTGTCATGGATGGAAGTTTGTGATATAGACGCCTACAGCAATGGGCTAATACTCGACGAGTTTGAAGAATCCGAAACTTGCGGGATAGGCTTAATCTTTTAGAAGAATATGAGGACGCCAATTTTTGTCTACGGTTTCGCCTCAGGAAAGATTCTGTTATCAAACGCACTGCCATTTTCAAAAACGATCGATATCTGGAACATCAAACGAGGAGAAGCTTGCCCCTCACACCAATGCAGCAAGTTCTTCGAACCTTGCGTTTTTATGCTACAGCCAGCTTTCATCAAGTAATTGGAGATTTGTTTGGAGTGTCTAATTATGCCGTCGGCAAGGTAATACACCGCGTTTCAAGGGTAATCATAAAATTACAATTTCCTCGATTGTGATTGGTTTAAAAAACTCCTATTTTCCACTAGTTTTTCATTGGACAGTTTGCTATCAGACAGTTCAATAAGCCAATCACATTCAAAGTTGTAGTTTAAATCAACCAATCACATTTAAAGTTGTAGTT